AACCTCTTTCATTCTTCGCCACGTCGCCGCCGCCGCCCGAAGAGCCGGGGTGACGCCCGCGCACCTGAACCGCAACCGTGTCTTCACCTTCTTATGTTCAGGAAAAAAAATAACTTTTTCCCACCAGATTAATGGTCGTTATTTTTGTGTGGTCTCCTGCAATAACTCATTACTCAAGGAGCTGGTAAATAATGAATGGTAGCTACCAGATGTGCGCGTGCGGGAGAGAGCGCTGCGTCTGTGGGGATGGGAGGGCGGTGGAGGTGGGGGCGTGGGGTGGGGGGGGGGGTGACATGTCCGTCCTTCATTTGTCTTCTGCTTCTGGCGTTTTCCTGAATGTGGAAACAGGAAAGATGACGAAGATGAGAAAGAAAAGCGTGTAGCCTAAGGAAAGGTGTGTGTGTGTGTGTGTGTGTGTGTGTGTGTGTGTGTGTGTGTGTGTGTGTGTGTGTGTGTGTGTGTGTGTGTGTGTGTGTGTGTGTGTGTGTGCTGTGAGAGAGAGAGAGAGAGAGAGAGAGAGAGAGAGAGAGAGAGAGAGAGAGAGAGAGAGAGAGAGAGAGAGAGAGAGAGAGAGAGAGAGGGGGGGGGGAGAGAGAGAGAGAGGTGGGGGAGGGGGGGAGAGAGAGAGGGAGAGGGGGAGGGGAGAGAGAAGAGAGAGAGAGAGAGAGAAACTCTTTCTATTCTTGTTATTGTGATTCATTGTTCCCGCGTCACACACAACACCCGCCCACCTCGTCACCACCCCACACCTCCGCCCTCCCCGCCCACCCCCGGCCGCAGGGTGTCGAGTGGGGTGACAAGGGGGGAGGGGAGCGGGCGGGGGGAAAGGGGTGCCAGACTTTGTCCACAAGTTCGCCTCTTAACGGTGGTTCAGAAGTACCAGAACAGCTCCTGGGAACCATAAAGTTGGCAAACAGACGGCACTGCCAGCCCATCACTCTCGGGCCAAACTACCCCTGAGGATCCCCCCCCCCCCCTGTCCTCCGCCCACGCGCCCGCCGCCGCCCCCTCCTGGCGACGCAACAATTTGTCGCTTGCTTTTGTCATTTCTTTGGGGGCGTCTCGTGGCGGCCGTGGAATCGACCGCGGGAATCTTCACTTCAACCAAGGAGAAAAAGCAACTCGAGGCCCTTCTGCCAAAAACACAGATTTTGAAAAAAAAAGAAAAAAAATAAGAAAAAAGGAAACAAAAAAGAAAAAAAGAAAAAAAAAAGAAAAAAAAAAGAAAAAAAAAATAATATATATATACATATATAAGTAAATAAAAGGATAATAATTAAGGAAACGAAGAGATCGACGGGAGCTCATCGCCCGGACGTCGCGAAATAAAACGCAAAGCTGAGCGTCGTCGCTTCCGTGGAGGGGACTATAAAGATAAGCGCCGTCCCGCGAAAGATTGTCAGGAGGGAAGAGCGATTACGGTGAGGCCGTGGGCGCGAGGGCGTCGTAAAGCGGTGGCGAAGCGCGTTCTTGGCGTGCCCGAAGACGTGAACCTTCGCCTTGGTTCACTTCCATCGGAACTAATGACTTAGGTCCCCCGTCTGACGGCTCTCCCCTGCTTCCCCTCCCTCCCCAAGGAAGCCTGGGAGCTGCTTCGAGGGGCGAGGGGGCACGGGGGAGGGAAAGGGGGGGAGGGGAGCCACTCGAATTCACTACGGTCTCCGAGTAAGATATATGCTCGCGAGGAACAATGCCGACGTGTCTGAACTATCTTGCAGAGCCACGGCATTCAACTGGTCCGCGACGTAAACACGCGACACCTGTGTGTGCGTGCGCGGATAGAGAGAGAAATAGAAGAAAAAAGAAGAAGAAAAAAGGAGGAGTAGGACGACGTCGAGAATGATATTATATATATACATAATATATATATATATATATATATATATATATATATATATATATATATATAAACATATGTATGTATACACACACACACACACACACACACACACACACACACACACACATATATATATATATATATATATATATATAATATTATATATATATATTATATATATATATATATATATATATATATATATATATATATATATATATATATTATATATATGTATATATATATACATACATACACGACAAAAAAATAGGGAAAATACCAGCTCTCGCTGGCCGCCGATCGCACCTCATTATCGCCTTAATTACCAGCACTTACAAACAACAACACGGCCAAATCATGGCGGAGAAATGTCGCAGCAGCGGGAGAAATCCTCCTGAGAGGCGGAGGAAGGGGACAGGCGAGCGGGCGCGGAGGGCCTCGCACGCCTCCTCCGGCGCCCTCAATCTCGGGTAAAAGCCCTTAGTGCTTTCTTTATTTCATTCCTCGCGGCAGAGGCGGATGCTTCGGGGGTCGTTAACGATGGCCATAAAGTAAGCAGTTGAGGCTGCAGTAGTGACGCGAGCCCAGAGAGATCGGCGGTCGGGTTAAACTGTCGCTAACGAGGGACCATTATCGAGCCCAGTTCACATTAAACGGTGCAGAGGCCCTTGTTAACTACCATAACAGTAGCAGGAAGTAAGAAACGTCGGGTATTCCTCCTGTTAACTGTTAAAACAATGTACCATTATTTTTGAAGTCCAGTTCTTGACATCAATGGCTGTTCAGGGATATTCAATTAGCGCCAGGGTCGACTTGTTCGCGAAATTGTTTCCTCTGCTGCTAATCGCGAAAAAGAGAATATAAATTAAACGCAAAATTGCCAAAATGACGAACGAGATCCTCATAATCCTCCCGAGCCTCTGTTGGCGTCCCAGTGATCCTCGCAGCCAAACCTTTGCAATATCAACGTTGTATTCATTTGAGAGTACTTCCCGCATCACGGTTTGAAGGGCGAATATCCTTTACCGACGACTTTAAGTAATCATTTCACCCATTATTGCAATTTCTTTCCTTCGTTGATGTTTAATCGAATGCCTTAGTTTCCCTGTGTGTGTGTGTGTGTGTGTGTGTGTGTGTGTGTGTTGTGTGTGTGTGTGTGTGTGTGTGTGTGTGTGTGTGTGTGTGTGTTGTGTGTGTGTGTGTGTGTGTGTGTGTGTGTGTGCGTGTGTGTGTGCATATATATACATACATGTAAAAAAAATCCTAGTGTGTGGTCCCTTCCCGCCTTCCTCCCCAAGCCCATCAAAGACGCGTTTCCCTGCGCGAATTCAGCCCCGCCCGCAGAGTCAATAATTTCCTGACGTTCCGAAATATACTTAGATGCCGTAACTCCGCACAGAAACGAGACAGCGCGCGCATCTCGCTTGTCTTCCCGAGGCCTGGGTCCCTTTCTCTTCAAACGAACGACACGGGATCAAATGAAAGAAGACAAGGCACTAAAATACGAAGCCCAACAAAGACAGTAATGGAAGGCGGGCGGACGAGGCGGCGGGGCTAAATAAACGACGACATATTGAGGACATAATACAGCGATGGTAAAACGAGTCAAAAATTAATGGCAGAGGGAGGAGAGCGTGTGAGGGAGTAGGGGGGGGGGGGTTTGGCGTATACTCAAACGCATGCACACACATACACACATAACCCCCCCACACACACACACACAACACACAACACACATACACACACACACACATATACACACACAAACATAAAAAACACCCGCATACATACACAAACACACACACACGCACGCAAAAAAGACCCACACATGGCAGGGCGAAAGAGAACATTAACACCTGTGTATGTAAAAAATGGAATGGGCAAAAAAAAAAAAAAAAAAAAAAATTGCAACCGTCTGCGCACTATACTGATGACTATCCCGAACTATTCCTGTGTTTTGTTTTCCTCTTTAGGTGTTTAATGGCGAGGAAAATACATCCAGATCACCGAAAAAATATTCATATGACATTTGAATACATAAAGAATGGATTTGTGTGATACGGAACATTCTCGCACCTTCCGGCAATCGAAAACAAAATCGGAAAATGGTGATAAATATATATATTTTTTTTATAGTATATACAGTATATTTTTTGTATTTCCCTCACTCAAGCGATCTTTGGGACGGCAACTCTTTCCAGGAAAAGTACGAGGGCAACCAAAGCAAAAATTAACCGTATGCAAAATAGTGCAAACTATCGCAATAAAACACCCTACTTTGGATTCCCTCATTATAACTATTTGCACATATATAAAACACAGGCCGAATGCGATCCTTTTATAGCACTATTCACATGCTAATTCCTTGCCAAGAAGTCTTATAATTACGAGCAGCATGATATACGAGCCACAACGCCACACAGAGTAATTAGCAGGCCGACTACCGTGCTACTGCCGGAGCCACTGAGCCTTCTATCGCGTTACTGTCGCTACCCACACGTTTATTACAGATTAGAACAGTTACCCCTCGCAGCCGTATTATTTAGGGCCGCAGGGGTGACTTGGGCATTCTCAGCACGTCGGCGGATCGAGGTTTATGGAGCCTCTTCGCGGGGGCTTCTTCCATTCGGCCGGACGGGGGCGTCCCGCGGCCGCCTCGCCCGCTCGCCGCTCGCGGGCGGGCGGCGGTCGCTCCGAAATAGACGCGACAGCGCTGAATGCTCTCGCGAGGCCGGCCTGGAGCCTGTCTGTGGCACTGCATACACACGCACACAAACACACACACACAAACATATATATATATTTTTATATATGTGTATATATATGTGTGTGTGTGTGTGTGTGTGTGTGTGTGTGTGTGTGTGTGTGTGTGTGTGTGTGTGTGTGTGTGTGGTGTGTGTGTGTGTGTGTGTGTGTGTGCCCAATAGCGTGAGTTCTCATGATGCTTTCCTATCTACCAGTGCCCTGCCTTCACACGGGTATGGGTATTAACACGATAATCAGAACTAAAGCCGTCTGATGTCGAGGCCGAAGATGGAGATAAACGGGAGAAAGAACAAAGAACAGTAAAAAAAAATACACTGAATCGCCGAAGACGAAGAACGAAGAAAATAAAAAGGATAAATCAAACTAAAACAGCGAAAGAAGACCCAGCGCTCACCTGCAAGACGCGCTTCGACAGCCCCGTCTTCTGCGACAGCTGCTTGAGGTCCTTGGCGTCGGGGTTGTGGTTGAGGGCGAAGTACGCCTTCATGGTCCGCAGTTGGTGGTGCTTGAAGGAGGTCCGGATCCTCTTGGTTCGCACGGACTGGCAGGGCGTCCCCATGGGCCCGTATGGTCATAAGCCGCCCGGGATGTCTGGAGAGAGGAGAGAGGGGAAGGGTTAGTGGCGGCGGTCTTGGGAGGCGGCGTCGGCTGGGAGGGGGGGGGGAGGGAGCCGAGGAGTGAGGACTGCACGTATATATATATATATATATATATATATATATATATATATATATATATATATTATATAATTTATACACCACGCACACACAAACCACACACACAACACACACACACAACGCACAAAACACTCACACACACTGCATTCACATCTGCGTCAACACACAATTACGAAGCAAAAAAACGGGAAAAATTCAGGTAAAACAGAAGTTGAGTGCAGGGACGGGGGTGTCGAGGGGGGTGGGGTGGGGGAGTAGGCGCTCCCAATGCAAGACTCATCGACAGCTGCAGGACATTGGGTCTCACGCTATCGCCTCGCTCATATCAGCTGATATCATGAAAATTGGGGGAGGGGGTTAGTGTGATGTAGAGGCGAATGGGGGAAGGTCCGAGGTGGGGGAGGGGGGGGGAGTGGAAGCACGGGACAAGAAGCACAAGAGAAGTGTATTATTTTTATTTTTTTTCTTTCTTTTGTGTACATTTATATGTCTTTGTAATTTTGTACGCGGGTGTGTAACTACAGATTCCCATTTGTGTGTGCGTATGTGTGTGTACTTGTGCGTGTTCCTGGGCGCGTGTCTGTCCGTGCGTGTATGAATTTAACCACACGGACTATACGCGTTTCGCATATGAAAAGTATTTAATGTTGATTTACAGTTACAATTTCATAAACTGAATTTTAAAAAGTGTTGATTTCTTTAAATATCAGGAAAACTATCCTAATGGGCTAGCTCTGAGCATTAGAATTGTTTCTGAAAAGATTAATTATTTTCAATATAATTCTTATATTTCAGTGTTAATTTGTATGCATGTACTATGCCATAAAACCGGAGACATGCCACGCCTTTGAGCGCCGTGTACTTTACTCGTATGTTAATTGCATCATCTGGTATTCATATTATGTAATTCTAAGGGAATAAATTATATTAATCAAATTATATATCACTGTTCATTTTCTTTCCTTTCTCTCTCTCTCTCTCTCTCTCTCTCTCTCTCTCTCTCTCTCTCTCTCTCTCTCTCTCTCTCTCTCTCTCTCTCTCTCTCTCTCTCTCTCTCTCTTCCCTTCACATATTCTTCCTCTCTCATCTTTTCCTCTCTCAGGTAGACTCGATCTGAATGCTTCCCCCCCCCTCCACCCCTCCACTCCCTCCTCTCGCACCCTCCCTCGTTCCCTCCTCGCCCCATACACTTCCACCACCCTAAAGGCCCAACTTTAAGACTATTATAGTATTACAAATAATGGGATCTGTGCACACAAAATACACTGGTCCCTTTCATCCCGCTGGTGTTGTGAGGGGGGACGACATCGCAATGGGGGTCCCGGCGAGGAGGAAGGAGGGACGGATGGAGGGCGGAGGAGGGGCGGGAGGGAGGGAAGGAGGGGCAGGAGAAAACGCTCCCTTAGGCTACGTGCACATGTTCCCACGTTATTCAGAACTTTCTGTTTCATATTTTAATCGTTAACTTTTTTGTTGCATGTTTTATTCATTTTTTATGTGATTTTTTGCAGTTTCTTTGGGCAAGGTATGTGAAAATAACGGAGAAATAATCATGAGAGAAATTACACACACACATATATATATATATTATAGCGTAAGTGATTTGACGTAAAATACACCGTATTTTCGTGTGTATGAATCAGAAAGTACTAAACATTTGAGGCCAACACACATCAAATACAAATACTTGCTCCACAGATGCATATATACAAACAGCTTTGTTTTTTGTTTTTATCTATTCATTTTTCAATAAATTTCTAAGGATTCTTGCGAATGGATATTACAATAAGTGACGCTACGAACTGCATAACGGATGAAAAGCGAAAATGGGCCTTCCAGACGAGAGCAAAATTCGCCAGCCAAGCATGCGGCGCGTCCTTCCCTCCGCCCAGGCCCTCGTCAAGCAGATTCCGTCCCGAGCCCTTCAAAGGAACTACACAGGATTTTTTGGTGACATGGGCGCGACGGGGGTGCCACAAATGACACTGTGTAACGCCAGGCTCCCCGCTGGCTCGGCTTCTGCCTTTTCACTCCCTTTCTGACCACGTTTTTCCCATGGAGTGGCGAATAAAAAGTAAGATTGGCGCTGCGACAATACCGTGTTACCTCCCTCCTTCCTCGTTACCGTATTGCGGGCTTGTCCGGTGAGCGAGTGTTATGCATTCGATTTCATTACTCTTTTATTTGAGGCTAAGCATTCCTTTAAAATACAACTGT